CTAGGAACAAATTCCGTGTCGTTTTAACCCCACCCCCACCCCCACCCTTTGCCGCCGACTATGCTCGCACTCTTTTTCTAGCCAGCAGATGAAAATTTGTTGTGTTTTAAGTTTTCAGGTGCAGCCAGCGGACGGAGTCCAAGACCCCTTTGGCAGAGAAGGTCACTTTGCAGTGTGACGCACGACGCAACCTATGTGATTCTCAGGATTCAGAGGAATAAACTGATAGAATCACTGATAGATGACAAGTTGTTTTGTTTTTTGTTGTTTTTTTTTTAACCCCTCTTCATGACATTGACATGCAAGGAGTATGGCAAGAAATGACAATTCAATTGAAACATTTATAATTGTATTTCATTGTTTCAACACAAGAAAAAAGTTGCAGGATCCTGGGCAATGCAGAGCTGGACGTCCAAGGTAGGCCAAACGACGAGAAATACAGAATAAGCTTAAGTACTAGCGAAATAACGGAGAATAGAAACGCCAACGACTTGTCGATCTTGAGTGTAAAACTGTGGACATAGGTAGGGGTGGTTTAAGGAAATGCTGCCTCTTCCCTCTTTGCCCTCCCTCTCCCCCACCCGCAAACTCCTCGCAACTAACAGCCGGCATAACCCCTTGTTGAACATAACGTCCCCGAAACAAAATCTCCTCCCCCATATTACGCAGTCCTCCACCACCCCTATGGGTTCTCTCTGGGGCGAGGTTTAACAATTAGAAACATTTGACAAAAATTAACGATGCAGAAAACTCAGTAGGCGGCTCCCCGCTGCGAAAGATGGCACCCGATCTCGTGCCTGTGCGTCAGTCTCGCAGTCAGCACCAGTCACGACCAGCGCAGCGCTGCAATTGCGACACGCGCCCCCTCCTTTCCCCAACTGCTCCCCCCACCCCCCGGATGGCCATTTCCGGGGAGCGGGGGGAGGGGAGGGAGCGCCTACCGCTCGATCGGAGCGCTGCGGCGGTCGCGGCAGGTACTGACTAACGGGTACGACATATGACGCCACCTTTCACACGCTGAGGCATAAGGAGAGCCGCCACCGGGTCCCTCTACATCGTGGCATCATCTGACGCGGTACATTTACAACTTGTCCTTGTAGTTCTAAATTTAACGATTAAATTCTTCCATTGGAAAATGTCATAAAAAAAAACAACTTTACATTCCACAAAATATACAAAACCAGAAAGAAAAGAAAGCTTGATAAGGTGCTACGCTAAATGTGGTTATAACCATGCACACAAAAATGGGTGAAGTGCGTTTATATGTAATCACCTATAGACGAGACGTCTACAGGTGAGGGAGCAGAAACCTGCGACATAAGGCCGAGCGCACAGTACAGCAGACAGAGGGGCGATGTACACCGTGGTGTAATCTAGAGGCCACCTGAGGCTTACGGCCAAGCTCGCACCCGCGATGGTGGGCGACCCCTTTCGGGATCCAGGCGGCCCCTGAACCCTAAGCATCTGTCCGCTGCACACTCACGACATCGGAGCGGACTCCGACATCCAGGTAACGTCCCTTTGGAAACCCAGCGCATGGTTATGCAGCTCTCACTGGCCGTCGTTTGTACTTTAATGAGTTTATGACTAGGGTTCGCATTGCACACAAATAGATTGAAAAGAGGAAAAGTCAGTCAGTGAGGTCTGCAAACCATGCACTTATTAAAACCACACGCACACAGCAAAAGGAAACGAGGGCGACGGGAGAAGAGACCTGCAGCATTAAGGCCGAGCGTACAGTGCAGCACACAGGGGGGCGATTTCCATGCAGTAGTGAAATCTAGGAGC